GGGAAGCTGAGCTTCTGGTTTCCAGCACATGCATGTGCGCTGGTGAGCTGGTCCTCGTGTGCATACGCACACCAGAAACCAGAAGAGCATGTGACCGATGCGCATGCCAGAAACTGGAAGCTCAGCTTCCCGGCGTGTGCATGTGTGCAGGAGAATTGCTCTTCCGGTTTCTGGCGTTCCTGCACATGCGCACTGCTCTTCCGGTTTCTAGCGCTCCCGTTTTGGCACTTGGTGCCGAAAAGGTTCACCGACACTGAGATAGAACCAGTACATTTCAGGCAGGGGTCATAAGAGCAATGGAAGAGGACAGGAGGTGACAGGAAGGAGGACACATCAATTTTTTTTTTGTCTGGTGGGGATATCTGATACTTGACAGCATATCATGACTTTCATGAATGACTTTCAATTTTTTTAAAATAGTGGTATGGCTAATTAAACAGCCACACGGTCAAGGCCACCTGAAGCTTAGAAAATACAGAGGAACACTGGAATTAATTACCATGATTGAAGTTCATGAAAATTTACAATGAAATACATAATTTTAGGTTTTCCAACTCTAAAATGAAAGAGTTCTAGAGACATCCCTAAGCTTCGGATATTCTGATCGTCCCATTATTTCCTTTACTACTGCTCTAGTTCTCCAAATGTTGACTTGTTCTCAATAAGTAAAGCAGGAATACACACTGAGTTAAAGCTTAGGAACAATTACGGAATCATTGAACCTGGAGATTTAACTACCAGAAGATAGCATCACCTTCAACATTTTAGACCAGGAGTCTCCAACCTTGGCAACTTTAAGGCTTGTGGGCTTCAACTCCCAGAATTCCCCAGCCAACAGAATTCTGGGAGTTGAAGTCCACAAGCCTTAAAATTGCCAAGGTTGGAGACCCTGTTTTAGATCACCCTCTCCTGAACCAGCTGCGGAGAAGTTACAGGTCTCACAATTTCCAATCCATAAAAGAAAGGGGAAAAAAACCCGGGGCCAGGGAAACAGGATCATAGTTGTTATTATAGTCGCCAAAGATCTGGACAACCCATACCAGGTTAAGGGGAGGCCAGTTGGGACCGGCATCTTGAAGCCAAAGGTAAAATGTTATCAACTACAGTAGGATTAAGCCAACTGATGTTTTGTGGGGGACGCAGCAGCAAGGCTGGTTGGTTCCTCCTTTCCCCTGGCTTGTTATTCGCTTAAATTCAGCTTGCAAGATCTCCCTGCCCAGATGACGCCAGAAACAAAAACAAAAGGCATAACAGACTGGAGCAAAACATGACGTGCTCTCGGGACAAAAGCATCCTGCATTGTTCTTGGTGGTACGGTTGCTTTTTAATTTTTTATTTAATTTTTTTTTTGCAATGGCACACACACACACACACCACCCATATATATCGCCTATCTCCTCCCACTTGTGACTGCATGACTAACTTTGTTGCTTGTATCCTTATGATTTGTACTGATACTGTTTCCTGATTGTTTACTTGTACCCGATGACTAGCACTAAGTGTTGTACCTTATGATTCTCGATGAATGTATTTTATTGTTCTTTTATGTACACTGAGAACATATGTACCAAAGGCAAATTCCTGGGGTGTCCAACCACACTTGGCCAATAAAGAAATCTATTCTATATATGAAATACGCCTTCCCATCCAAGATCCGCTTCTCCTCCTTGCTCAATTGCTCCTGCCCCGAGTGTCTCCCCACCCTCCACCGCTCCTACTCCGAGGCTACCTTAAAAGCCATTTGGACCCCTTCCCCACCGCGCATCTCACCTGTTCCTCTCGTTGTCGCAGCCGCCGTGCTCCTTCCCGTCCAGGAACCTGGTCCAGCCGTCCGCCGTCTTCACCCAGTTCTGGCCCGGCGACCGCCAGTCCTGCCCCAGAAAAGGCATTGCGGGCAACCGAAAGAGAGAGACGCCCGCCGGTTTTTTAAAATAAAATAAAATAAAATAAAAATATAAAAGGCGCAAGAGAAGAAGAGCGCGCCTTGGGCTGCGTCCAAAGCAGAAGCTCTAACGACGCCTCGGTTAGCCAAGAAGGGAAACCCGGAGATGCCGCCTGAGCTGGACGGTATCGTGTTATTTAGGACGCCGCTTTCCCTCCACCATCCCTTGGACGACGACCAGGCCCCTCGATCGCTTCTCTCTGCCCGGGCTCCGGCCGCGTCTGTATTTATCCGGGCCAGCTGGTGGCTCTTTGTTGCCGGAAGAAGCGCGCAAACTCCGCCCTGCGCCCGGGGAGGGGAGGGAGGACACGTGGCTTTGTTTATGGCCGTTTCTCGGGAGGAGAGAGTTTGCCAGATTGGGGGGTGGGGAGGAGTGGGGCAAGGGGTGCAAGGGGTTGTTGCTTTGGCCACGGTGCCTTATTGCACAATCCTGGGAATGGAAACTTGGTCTCGCTCAGCTGCCTAGGTATTTTAAGACACCCTCCCCCTCCCCAAAGCAAAGTTTTGAAAACAACAAACGAGGTTACTCTAAGAAGGAGCGCGCCGAGGTGGCCCTGTTATGATTATTGTGATTAGTAGTAAGTTGACCAACGTAGTTGGTCTCGGTGGAGATTCCTAGCCATCCAGGACAGTGTTGTCCCAAAGGTGCTTTTTTAAAGGGCAACTGGGCTTTTTTTTTTTCCCCTTGAAGAGGTTATGTTTCTCATCCAATAAGCTGCTTCAGCTCTGGAGAAGTGAACTGAAGAGAACTAAAGAATTGGAATTTAATTGGAATTTATTGCATTTATATGCCACCCTTTTTTTTTAATCTAATAGCAATAGCAGATTTTTATATACCGCTTCATAGGGCTTTCAGCCCTCTCTAAGCGGTTTACAGAGTCAGCATATTGCTCCCAACAACAATCCGGGTCCTCATTTTACCCACCTCGGAAGGATGGAAGGCTGAGTCAACCCTGAGCCGGTGAGATTTGAACCGCTGAACTGCAGCTAACAGTCAGCTGAAGTGGCTGCAGTACTGCACTCTAACCACTGCGCCACCTCAGCTGGTAAGGAGGGTGCTGGTAAGGAGGGTG